CATGACCTAGTCCCCAATCTTGGAGGGCCTGTGCTGGGTGACCCTACAGATATTTCCCCAATACTCCTAAAAATCAATAGCCTCCAAAACACCCCGAAACGCTTCAACTTTAAAAAAGCTCACTGGGACGGGTTCCTTATAGAATGCCTCCAGATTTTGAACCCTACTTTCGGCATCATCCACAAAAAAATTCACGGAACACTTCAAGATATATGTCATAAATATATACCAAAAACATCCCCAAAACCGCGGAAGAACCATGTCTGAGGAGTGTGATGATGCCATACGAAAAAGATTGCAGAATCGGAGAGTCGTCGACGACAACAACAACACTATATAAAACAAAATGAAATACCCAAAAGCTCGAGTTGAGGCATGTAGAAGCCTCAGGGAGAGCAAAATAGGATCTTTTAGAAAATACGTATTCAAAATCAGCAGTCAGACCCTTGGGTCAGACGATTTACTCCAAAGTATTTAAAAGAGCTTTTAAACATTTTTGACCGCACTATAGTTTTTTAAATTTTATTTTAGTGCGGTCAAAATTCATGGTGCAACTTATCCTCAAATATCTCTTTTACGGGATAATAAATGTCATCCATACCTTGCATAGCAGTTTGTATGAATTTGTCTTAACTAAATCATATATTTTTTCTAGAACAATTGGGGTTCGATCTAGATTTAAAAACTTTTGTTCATAAAGTTATATAATATACTTGAAATCGATGCCATGCGTAAAATGGGATTGTTCACAGCACTTCCCGCTTTTCACACACATTTTAATTACGTACTTGCAAAACTTGTTACAAGAAATTATTGTTATAGTGAACACATTGTTGCACTAATGGCTCTGAAAAACTGTGTTCAATAAGCATAATGTCCTGATTAGAAAAACCTGACTAACTTGCTATTAAAAGCAATATTGCCCCAGCTGTAAACATTTAAAAATCTGTAGAAACCACCCAATTGGATTTTTTATTAGTATTTATTAAGGAATGTTCTAGAATGCAGCTTGGGGGTGTTTACAAAAATTTTGATTTGTTAAGACAAATTGATACAAGTCACTGTGCAAAAACTGAAGAGTTTATGTTCCATAGTTGAGGAGATATTTGACATTAAGTTGCGCCACGAAATTTTTGACCACACTATAGTGCAGAAATGTGTTCACTTTAAAATTAATTTCTAGAAACATGAGAAGTGTCATTCGTTAACAGTGGCGGAAGCAGATTTTACACCAGAAATGAAGTTGTTTTACCACTGCAATTCCGGTAAAATATATCCTTATATTTCGCATGAGAAATATAGGCTAAACTGATATATCACACGTGAAATATAAAAATGTGCATAAATTACTGCGTGCGCAGTATTCGCCTTCTAAACTGTTATAACTAAAAGCAAAGGATAGATTTGAATCATGATATTCCCAGACTCTGCAACGTTATGGCAGCCGCTTTTGCCCTCTGTAAAAACTTCGCTGCAAAGCCCGTTCACCAAAGGCCCCCAAACGAAGAGCCAAACACCAGTCTCCCATTCCTTTCAGTAGAGAGTAGGCGCAATTCTCTACATTGTCCTTAATTGTGTTCCTAATTGAGTCAAAAGGTGGTCACCATAGTGAACCGGGATTACGTCAGAGTACGGCGATGTATTTTAGTGCAATGCTAGCAAGTCTAAGCCTTTGCTAGCAAACTACTCACATCCTTTGGTTTGGTTTGGTTGCAAAGTTGAAATCAAAGTTATCTCTTTTCTCAAGGCAACATGTCATATAAATGCAGTTTCTGAAAATTTTAACTTTTGATTCGTACGTTTTCTGCTTGCTTTTCCTATGCTCACGTTATTATTGTTTTGTTTGGGGTTTATTTCGAAGAGGGCGGGGGAGCATACGGATAGCATAACAGGTAAATTAGCTTGGCTAAAAAATAAAGGAAAACAGTCTTTTTTTCAAATCCTCACTCTGACTAAGACGAGCATGAGAATTGTGTTTTCATGTGAGACTCTTGAAGGTATCCAATTGGGTTTTCCTTTGAACTTTATTGGTCCGGATCTCTTTCGCCAGCTGATATCAGTAAAAAGGAAAGTTGTTCCCTCATCCGATCAGGACATTGGGGATTGACTTGTTAGTGAGACAACTTCCTGGGCCTTCGGCATACTGTGGTAGGGTGGCCAATTCCTTTCCATGCCGCCTTTATTTCCCTAACTCGAAGTCAGGTACCCATTTCTGCTGGGTGGGCAGGAGAGAGCGGAAAAAATCCATGTACGAACCGAGGCTCGAACCCGGACTTTCCGCTTCGGAGACAAGCGCACTATACGGCGCGGCCAACGCACCCTCTGATATCAGAATGGTATAACAAATTATCCTGCTTGTGAAAGTACCAGTTGTAATCACTCGTTAAAACTCGTGATTACAACTTGGCAATTTCACTCGTAGGACAAATCATGATCTACCATCATAACTCAGTTAATGAATTATAAAATAATATGATTAGAGAGCAGGAAAGGAGGTGAAAGGAGAACATTTTGTCAGAAAAAAATGTTTCCGTCACTGTCAGGTTGCGAACCCGGGACCTATTGAATGAGAGGCTAATACCGTACTTCTAAACCACGAGAAGCCCCCTGTAAGGTTTAGTTCAGTGCTTGCCATCCAACAATGACCTTGTCTCTTGGCGACGTGTAGCCTACTTAATTCTGCAGTAGCGATTAGACAACTTCGTATGATCTTTGAGATGTTCTGTATAAGGGTCTGTTTCTATCCGGATTGTGATAAGGAAACAGTCAGCAGTATTTGAACAACTCCCATTGTGTTTTCTGTTCTTAGCACTTCTGTCGCTTAACCCTTCCTTATGAGGTTGAATAAATATTGACAGTTATAGACTTTTCTGAAGGTGCCCTTGCCCATCCTCTGTAAAGAACATCATGCAAGTCAGCGCATCCTGATCCATCAATCAATTCTTACTTATGGGAAACTATCGCCCATGGCACCGTCTGGGACAGAATATTTTGTGTGACTGTTCGGGTGGTTTATTTGTCGATGGTGCAGCACGCAGAAGATTTGAGTTCTATTACTGTGTGGGAGTGTGAGGAGGGCCATG